TTTTTGCAAGGAGAACACTCAATTCTGTTGGCACGTTCCCACCTCTGGATGTAGTTGTGTTAACTATGACCTCTGGTAAAGAAGAGAATTTGGAGGAAACATTTGTGGCGACTCTCTTTCATTTTCTCACCGGTGTTTAGCCTTCCCACATTTAAAGTGAAGAGTGATGAGACATGTCTTAAATCCTTGCTAATTTTCCCATATATTTCAGTAGAATTTACGATCCACTAACTTAGTTTGGGTCCAACTTCTAATTATTTCTGTGCTTATATATTACTTGATTTAAAAGCCCATGACACAAAATCTTGGCTTGTTTGCTATAGTTTTTCCACTTATCAGTGCTTTTTGTGATATTTCTCTAGAGGCAAAATGCCCAGTTAATTTCAATGAAGTTAGGCCTGCTGCATGTTGTTGTACCTCTTCAGGTCATTTTTTACTTATGACAACCTTAAGCTGAACCTATCATGAGGTGACTTTTAAAAAAAGGTTTGTTCAGAGGGGGTTTGCCTTTGCCTGCCTCTAAGACTTAAAGGTGTGACTTACTCAAGGTCACCCAGTGGGTTTCTATGGCTGAATAGGGATTCAAACTCTGGTCTCCAGAGTTGTTATCCAGGCTGTCATTGTTACACCATGCTGGATTCACTTTGGCAGCTGGTAAGATTTTCCTGCTAGGAGCTCAGAACTTAAGAGACAGGAATATTTTTACCCTTGAAGAAGCATTTGACTATTTGAACCCCAGATCCAGTGTGAAATAATGTGTCCATGCATTTAAGTGGTCAGTCACGTGTTTCAAGGGATATCCAGTCCAGATCAAGAACCTTCATCACAGAGAGCAAGGACTTTGAGGTTGCACCTGGGCACCACAGTGAACAAGCTGCCGTCACAGCTGCTCAACATTTTCCCTGCTATGTTAAGGTATATATTTTGTATTTCTTCCTATTGAGATTTTACTAGAGATCCTGCATATGGTCATGGTTTGAGTGTTTATGGAAGATTCTGGAAGACCTGGGGTTGAATCCCCAACCAGTCATGGGACTCCACTTGGTGACTTCGATCAACCACACAATTTCAGTCTAAGGGGAAAGCAATAGATAACCTTCTTAGAATTAATCTTACCAGGAAGACCCTAGATGAGGGTCACTACAAGTCACATAATCACAAATTGTTTCTAAATTTGCCTCTGTCCATATGTATATTTTATGCAGATCTGTTTTGTCTTTTTCCCCTCATTGTTTTGCTGATGCATAAGTGACCACTCTAATTTAAGATGTAAAGCCTTGGGAGAACTTTATTAGCTCATTTGCTGTTTGCATGAATCACCAAGGCATGTGTAAGACAAATGCAAGAACAAGGTTTAGCAACAAACAAAAACTACTGAGAGCGGGCTTCAGAAATAAGAATTAGCTGATCAGGGAAAGGTGCTAATACTCATTATTGCGCTGCCTGTATTATTATTTTTTGTTAAATGGAGATGGCTTATTTCTGTACTGCTCATAAATATTTATCAAAATATTTTCAACTTTTGATTGGAATCTCCCAAAATCAGAAATTGGATAGTTGTGTATTGTAGTTGGTGTGGTCTTTGGAAATATATGCTGTTTGACATAACATATGATATTTGGAATCTATGCTTTGGAATCTGATATATTTAAATATTTGGCAACTCATTCATGGTATAGGTTCCCTTCTCACTTCCTGTTGTGTGTAAGTGAGGTATTTGTAACTTGGGGACTGCCTGTAATTTGCTGTTTTAAAATAATTTTCATTCAATATCTTGAGTATGGTTTGCTCTAGTATCTTTCTTCTCTCCCTCAGAGGCATTTGTTGGAACATGTCAAATGGCACTGCTAGAATTTCCTGACATCTCAGCTGTTGTCAGTACCATCAGGGATGGATGACACGGAATAACTGGCCTAGAGGACATTACTTTCAGTGCTATTAGTGATTAATAAAGACAAACCGGAAGTGTTAGCTTTTGGACTGCAACCTTTAAAATTCTGTATTACCTGGGAAAGTCTGGGAGATATCATCCAACAAGCTGACCTTTCCAAGTTCTGTGTAAGCTTATATAGAGAATGGTGAATGAACCATGGAGGTTATATCTGGACTGTCATAAGCAGGGAAAATTTCTAAATCCACTGATGACTAATAATGGGCAGTGAATGATGATATATATATGGAACTACCAAATAAATTGCCACCAAGTGAGTGATGAAACTTTTCTATTGCTTGTATGTGTGATTACATACAGGCAGTCCCCAAATTATGAACAAGATGACTTCTGTAGGTTTGTTCTTAAGCTGAGTTTGTATGTAAGTCAGAACAGGTACATTTTAAAAGTATAACTTCAATCATATAAGCTTTGGGTAGCATAGGGAAGAGTGGACACCCTTGTGGTGTTTATTTTGCTGCCTGTGCCCCTGTTCAGAATATTTCACCTCACTTTCTCTCCCCATGATAATTGGATTTTGAAAAAAAAATGGGTTGTTCTGGAAACAAAGATTAATGATAAAGCTTCAGTGGAACTTTCTTCCAGGAGTGAATTTCCCTTCCTAGGGGTAGATTTCTCTCACTTCCCGTTGTCTCACCCCCGTTCTTAACTATGAGTCATTTGTAAGTCAGATGTTTTAAGTTGGGGATTGCCTATATGTAGGGAGAAAACAAGATGCCACCCCAAAAATCCTCATAATTTCTGGGATGTTTAAAAGACAGGCAAAGGTATCCCTGCATGTGAATATCATCATTTCAGATGGTAAGGAGAATTTCACTATAGAACAGGTGGCAGAAGAGTGACCATATGGATGATAAAATGTGTGGTCAAAGGTCAGTGGTAGTTACAGGAAGCTGGTTTGTACTTACATCTAGACCAGTATTGTAATTCTGATTGACAACAGTTCTCCAAAGTGTTCCGCATAAATCTTTTCTTAATCTTGTCTGGGCATCATTGGTGTTTCTAGTCATCATTCCATTTTTGTACTGACCAGGCTCGATTCTACTTAACTTCCAAAACTGGACATACTCAGGTGTGTGGAGGGTAGCATTGTGGTTACTTGTCTAATAAGGAGCTCACTAAGATGTAAAATTACCATTTTGTAGCTTCTTCTGGTGTCTTCAATTTGTTTATGACTCCTGGCAACTCTCACCCTATGCCATTCATGAGATCATACAATAATAGAGTTGGAAGAGACCATATGGGCTATCTAGTCCAACCCCTGCCATGCAAGAAAAACACAATCAAAGTATCATAAATCAACAGGCAATCTGAAGACAAGGTTTTCTTGGCAAGGTTTGTTTAGATGGGGATTTCTTTTTGCTGTCTTCTGTTTCTGAGGAAATGTGACTTACCCAAGGTCATCAGTGATTGGTTAGACCATTTCATTTATAGACCTTCTCTCCATGAATATTTTCAGAAATAAATATCCACTCAAGTTGAGTTACCACCCTTTCTCATTACTGAAAAGTAGGCAAAATGGAACATGCAGCTGTTTAAAATGTATAAGTATAGCTACAAAGTTAGAAGTAATTGTTATAATTCAAATACAAATAATGTACACTAATCTCATCATAGTGGAGAAGAAGGCTGTGGCCAGGTAACCTCGGTTCCTGTTCAGTCTGATGTTTGTGTGTTGTTTGGTGATAGACAACATAAAAGCTTCTCTCCTGTTATGCTTCCAGGTTAAGAGAGCAACTCTTGAATTAGACCACTCCACAGATAGAGGACTTCTTCTATAGAGGGTTTTTTTGGTAAAGTAGGCTACGTAGACCCTCCCCCGTCCACACATCTTTTAACAGCCAACAGCATTTTCCACTGTGATTTGGCATCACATCAGATAAACTATTCAGCTCTTTAAAACATTACTTGCTGTTCAGCATAGTCTACTGGCCTCAAAAAGATGAATAACTCCTAATTAGTCAAACCATTTGTCCTGCTAGGCCAGGAATAGGAATTATGTACTCTCTTCAGATGCAGTTGGGCTGCAACTTTCAGTGTTCCTCAATATTGCTGGGTTATACAGTTCCCAGCTATGATCTAAGCTGTTGATTTTTTGACCCAACTGTTAAGCAGCCTTCCTCATTCATACAGCCTAAGACTACAGATGCCAGTGACTTAATCCAGGATCTTAAACTTACAAAGCAGGTGTTCTAACACTGACCTATCAATCCCATGGAAAGCTTTAGGATTTTCAGGGTTAATGATCTCCACATTTATTTTGAGCTCTTTGCCCTCAATACTATGTTTAACCTCACAATTCATTTTCTGGTTTTTCTATCTAACTACAAGAGAGAGTCAAAAATTATCCACACTCTGGCTGTACAATTTATTTTAATCAACTTACGGGGGGGGGGGGGAATATAAATACATCATTTTCCAACACAATCTCCCTGCTTTTCAATACAGTTTGTCTGTTTGTCAACAAGCTTTCATTGTCTCTTCTTAAAAATTTGTTAGGCTGAGCTGCAAGCCATGAATACAATTGTCTTCACCTCTTCATCAGACATGAATTGTAATCTTCATAGGGCTTCCTTCAGGCATCCAAACAGGTGATAGTCCGGTGGGCAAGATGAGGACCATAGGGAGGATACTTTAACACTTCAAAATGAAGTTTTTGGAGAGTGTTGACAGTATTTGTAGAAGTGTGTGGACTTGCAGTGTCATGCAACAACCCAACGCCCTTGAGTAGCAGTCCTCTGCATTTTGTCCAAATTTTAGGCTTCAGCTCTTCATTGAGCATGTTTGGACCCCTGAAAAAGCCCTACAAGAACAAAGATTCATGTCTGATTAAGAGATGAATACAGTGATGCATAAGTGACTTGTAGCTCAATCTAAAACATTTTAGATAGGGGAATTGCTGACAGATTGACAAAGTACATATTGAAAAGCAGGGAGACTGCATGGGAAAATGATGCATTTGTCTTTTCTAGTTGATTAAAGTAAATTCTATAGCCACATCACCCTCATATTTTTAGCATGTCATTATTCTATAAATTGTCCTTTACAGTGCTGACGTAATTGTAAAAGCTGTGGATTTCTCACAAGAGGACACTGAAGACCATGAATTGGTCATTGGGTGAGTACTAGTATTAAACAACAATATTATGTCAGTGAAAGATAACTGTTATTATTCAGTTTCCTTTTTGAACTCTGCTCCATTTAAACAAATAGTCCTGTTTTTCTGAGGAGGGAGGTCCCCTTTCACATTTCATCACTTTTCTATCTAGCAGCCTTGTCATCTTCTGTACTAGATCAAGATTAAGACAGAACAAGGTGAGCATTGAGGTGTTTTGGGCCCCTTAGGTGCTATAAATATCAAAGGTGTTTGGAAAGTTGTTGCTATGTCAGTCTCAATGATAAGGAAAGATAATGCAGATAAGATGAGACTCTCAGTTGTCACATACTGCACTGACATCAGTGTTCATATACAAAACTATTGTCCTCCTTCTGTCCTTCATTGACCAGGATTTCAAAGTATTCTCACAATATCAGGGGGCCCTCTTTTAAGCAAGAAACACGTGAGAGATGTTCTTCTGTGATATTCTGCCTCACATGGTAGAATGACTTGAGTAAACTTTAGAAACTATGCTCTGCATGTTGGGTTGGAAGGCAGGCACCATTTGCTCTTTAATCTCAGACAGCAAATGTTATTGAACTAGCCAAGACAATCCCCACTTGGTTTTTCCAAAAAAAGAGAAAGACTAGGTTGATTGACCAGATTAATCCCAACATTCACAGGTGGGCAATACTTTTCTTAGGATGCACACTATGGACAGGAATTTCATTTTCCAAAATTTCGTTAGTCCATTTGAGATTGTGCAGTGGTCTTTCCTTAGTAGATTACTTCCATGAGCTTGGCTTAGAGACCATTGTCTGATGAAAACCATGCCCGAGAAACTGGTAATATTTTATAAGAGCTAGATGATTTGTTCCTTGAAATTCCTTTTAAATTAAATTCATTTGTGCTGCTTGTTACTTACTACTTGCTGTCTACTCTGGAACAGAGGCCTTTCCGTTGTATACTACACACCTGTCTTGCCGTAATCATTCAGTTGGAAGGAAACAAGAGCCAGAACAAATCTTGACTATCCCCATGTTAGCACACAGCAGGGTGCCTATCAGGATATGTAGAGTATATCATCTCTTTAGCAGCAGCTGGCTTCCTGCTGCTAGGTTAGTGTGCATACATGTAAATGGCCAAGGGGGCTTGATGGATTGTTAATGAGAACCTGCACATGAAAAAATAGTTCAATGTTCCAGAAACCTCCACCACTTCAAAGACCAGGTAGCAAACATCAAAGTGAAAGTTGAATTGTTTATTATAAAAATCAAGTCCTAAACCTTACATTCATCTAGTTTGATTGTTCTGATTAAGTTATGGCAGGGATGGATGATTATTTCTTTGGGTCAGGTACTATTCAGGACACTAAAAGTTGCCTTTATAATAAAACATCTTTGCATGTTTACTCAAAAATCAGCCTCATTAAATATAATGGGAGTTGGCTCTAAGCGGGTGTGCGTAATGCAGTATGATCCCATGACTGTGGAGAATATGTTCTTGAACTTACTATGGAAACAGTAAACTCCCAATAATAGTAAGGAACATTGAAATGAATAACTTCCACCAGACATTGTCGTAGAGTCACCCCAGAGAGCCTAGAAAATTTCAGGATAGATATCCTCTCTAGGAATTTTCTATGTCCTACAAGGTGATTATGTGATGCCTTCCAGTAGATAGATTCATCTGGAGAATCTAGAACATTCCTAGAGATAACATTTTGTTAGAAATGGGGACATGAAGCCAGAAATACCAATCCTATAGGTATGGGAGGATCATACTATCTAACACAAGCTAATATGTTGACTTCTTTGAATTACTACATCAAACTTCCACAGAGGCCCAAAATCTGCAATGGGGTGCAGATTAACCTGAGGCATCCAACCAATGCCTCTGGAACAGCACCTGAAAAGAGCCAGACCTTACTGCAAGGTTCTGATCTTTCCAGGTGCTGGCCTGTGGGAATTGACTCTCAGGACCATCTTCCATGATTCTGGGGATCAATCCCCATTGCCATCTCAGTCCTTCAGTCTCTAAGCCCCCCCCCCACACATTTTCCCTCTAAATGCACCAGGAGCTTATCTGAGGGTGCAGCCAGGCCCCACCGGTAAGAAGTCTAAAGGGGAAAACGGGGGGGGGGGGGGGGGGCTGGGATCTGCCTAGATGCTCTTCTGGGTTGACTTCTGGTTGACCCGGGAGAGCATGTAGCCTCCACTCCATCAAAACCCTGGGGTTTGAGGCTTTTGTGGGGACTTAATTCCAAGAGGAATTGGGATTTTAAATCCCAGGATATGGGCCTATCTGGAAAGGCCCAGAAACAATTTGAAAATATTATTGCTGCCTCTTAACATGGACAGTGTTTCTCTTTCTAGCCTTTGGACTTTCTCTCCTGGCTTAATTTCTTTACTTATCAACAACATTGGTATCTTCAGAAATATTTCAAATCAACTAATTTTTGTTGTTGTTGCTATAGGTTCTCAACAAGCTGGAGAAATGCTACCTGCATACAAGTGCATGTGAGCCATGTAGTTTGTCAACACTACTGCCTCTCACACATATATCTGGGGAAAAGTATGGGGAGGATGGAAACTGTTTCGAACTAAGCATCTCTCAAAAGTTCTAGCTGCAGATACATAGCTGTTTATCTGCAGATAGTGTGAATTATTATAGAAACAATGAGCTTCACCTCCTTAAAACCCTGAAATGCTGCCACTGTGTTTGGTGAGCCACTTCGTATAGAATGTCTTATTTTCATACCAATCTACAGTTAAACTCTCTCCTACCATGGAAGATGTTACTGGTATAAATTGTCTGTTCTATGGCATTTTAAAAATAGCCAAGCCATAGCATCAGGAGAGTAAGGGGATCATTCCCAAATAAGGGAAGAAGGGGGAAATTGAGCTGGTGAAGTAATGGAAACATTTGCGTTCCAGCTGAGCACATGACTGATTACCAAAGTGTGATGCTGTCTTAGTTTGCTGCCCTTAAGTAAGTAGTGCCTGTGAAGACCTTGGATCTGATAGACAACAACAGGCTGTGGTTGGTCAGGCGGCTTATCATATCATCAACATCATCAACAAATCTTATATGTATTCAACTAAACAAGCTGTCATGTCTAAAAAGCGAAATCCATTTAGAACTCTCATCATCAGAGCTTAATATCACTGTAAAACCAATGCTGCAGCTTCATTGAAACTTCAGAATATTTGTGTAAAGATGTGAAGGCCAGAAAAAAACTGGAAAAAAAATAGATAGAAAATCAGATATTTTCTGCATTTTTCTGAAGGCTTTTTTTCCTGGGATTTTTTAAAGCCCTCTGCGAAGGGGTTGCCCCACTTCAAAGAAAAGGGGTTTCAGGAGAGAGAAGTTACGATTTATTATTTATTA